TTAGTTGTCAGTGTATTTAAGCCCTGTCCTGTCTCAGTCTTGTGTCGGATCATTGTTGTGTTATGTTTCGTTCCTGAGCTTTGTCTCCCTCATGCCTGTTTTTGAGAACCTGTAAGTGATTTTTGAGCTGCCTCAACAGCTTTTTCTGTTATTTAATAAATCTTTTTGAACCTGCCTGCGCCCTGTGTCCGTTCCTCCAATTCTGATACTGAGAGAGTTCAGCTGGTGTCTTGTCTTTCCATGCCTTTTTACACCTCCCTTTCTTCATGTGTTCAATACTTTTTCCCTGTGCCATTCCACATTATTACAAATAACTTCATTTCTGGACATTTATGGTTTGATTTCTTTGTATGTATGAATCACTTGGGTTGTTACCAACATCTGGTGAAAATTTCATGTCATTAGCAACTTTAGTAATATATTTACTGAGAAAAATGTTGACGTGTTCAATACTTATTTTACCCGCTGTATGTCAAATAATTTGTGGATGGACCTGCCAAATAAAGTCTGGACTTACCAACTATAATTTGGTGGTCTTTGTTCTCCTCTGGGTCTGACTCTGACTAGTCGTAAATCCCTCCACCAAACTAGTGTGAAGCACCTTGTTGGCATTTAAAGAGACAGCTTCAAAACGAGTTGCTTCAGAAAAGGAGTGAAAGAGTAAAATATTGCAGTTCCCTATATAGACCCCAACTGAAGGATTTAAATGTGAAAAAGGATTTAAAAGCATCATATGTCTCCTTTAAGTCACAGTAATTTAGCAAAATAACTTCAAAAATAGTAATGCCAGGGAATGTTTTTGTACACTTATCCCTCTGAAGAAATAAGCTAAAATACATGAATATTGTCTTGTGATCATTATATTTCAACTACAGTAAGTTGAGGCAGTGCGTAATCTTTACTTTAAATGTTTTGTTTTTACTTTTTACTTCAGAAGCTCTTGTTCCAACATGTAAGGAAGTTCAGTGGTTTCTGTATCAAACACCAGACCTGTTTTTACGTGAATCATCAGTTCTGAACGATGACAGAACGTCGGCGTAAAAAGAAACAATTACAGACTTTTCTTTCGCAGCACGACTAAGCATAAAGGACATAAAAGCTACGTACTTTAATGCCACCATGAAAACAATTCTGTTGAAACCATGACAGCTAAGAAAATGATAATACCAGATTTGGATCATAAACATTCATTAAGGAATAATAAAACCAACATTTAATTAGACTTTTGAGACGTCTCAGAAAAAAGTCAGCAAATAGCTAGGATGTAAGATCATTTAAAAAACAACTAATTAATTGACATTTTTGCAGACAGACGAATGCTAACACACAGATGATTACATTATTAACTGCTTATCGTGCAGTGGGTGATTTAAAGTAGTGTTCATTAAATCCTTTTTGACTTAAATGTTTCTGGTGAGGAACTAGAGGTTAACTCCTCAACTAAACCTGAAAGATCAAAAGGAAAACAAACATTTGCTTTGGCAACTAAACTCTGTAAATCACAAAGAAAATTTCCTGCAAGACGATATTTCCTTCTGATAAAGTGGGAGTTTGTGATTCTCTGAATATTTTTTCAGATATGTAGCTCATTTACCTGACATAACATAGTTGCTTTGGATTTATTATTTTAATTATGGGCATAAAACGTCTTGATGAATGAGAGGATTGACTCGTCGTTCCCCTCGGGATGTTTTCAGGAGTGAGCTGATCCCTTCAGACGCCTCATTGGCAGACTCTCTCTGTCAGTCTTATCGGTTCTCATGACCTCTTTGACGAGGAGGATCAGTCTCAGGTGTTTTCAAGTGGACAGTTTCCAGTCTAGGTGCACCTGAGGCCAAAACGAAAAAAAAAAAGTGTGACAGCTATTAAAGGGTTGAGTTAATATCACACCTCACAGACGGTCCAGGAAAAAAGGTGGTGGAGCGCAATCATCCATTTGTCATGATCAGTGCTGTCCTGGCCAGCGGGGTAACACAATATCCGTCCAATTCAGCACAGCGTTCTTGTCTCTTATTGCATCTCTGCCCGTATACCAGTTAAGAGCAGGGGTGGGCAATCCTGGTCCTGGAGGGCCGCAGCCCTACATGCTTTACGTTTCCCTGCTCCAACACACCTGATTCAGTCACTGAATTACCTCTTCCAAGTTCTGCTGTACAGAGGACCAAAACTGACAATTAGAATTAAAAGCAGAAACATATACACTCACCGGCCACTTTATTAGGTACACCACGCTAGTAATGGTTTTGTGGTCATAAAGGGATGGACATGGTC